GCTAGATTCGAAATTATCTCACTGAAGTCTGTTTCTGAAGTTTGCAAATTGTGATGAATCTCGAAATTGTTCATATATGACTCGGATGTAGTTGAAGATAAAAATGGAGGTGAATAATTTGCTGAGAAATTGCTTTCCTTTATATGCTCTGAAAAGAATTCAAAGGGAGGGAAAATTTCTTCCTTGGTATCCAATTCTTGAGTTTCATTTTTAAGAATGATCATATTTTGTTGAGCTTCATGTCTTTGAATTTCTTCTTCTTCTTTCTTTAATATTAGAGAATTTTCTTTCTTCTGTTTTAGCCTTTCTTGAATACAACTGTGTGCTCCATTATATGTGACCTCGAAAATCGAAGTGTCTTTATCTGTTCTTTGAATCTGTTTTGTTGCCAAACATCCTTGTGTGTTTCGATGTGTACATCTGTAATATGCCCTGCACGTAATTGCAAAAGAACTCAACATTAGACACAAAAAAGGGGCAATTTTTTTCTTGTGAAAGCGATGATATCAGGGGGGCTACAGAGCAGCAACTAGATAAGTCCTAGTACGATGTATAATAATTGCGAAGAAGGAAAGATATGTCGAAATTGGCTTCATCATCTTCAATTCACCTTCTCAGCCGTAGAGTCCCATTAGAATATTAGACCTACTGGTTCGTTTGGTGAGGTGGGCGGACTGCTTGATATCAGGCAGAATTACTATTGTATGTTCAGTCCTACATAGAACCACGTCACGTAGTTTCCTTAACTCGGTGAAAACAAGACATGTCCAAACAAATTTCATCAAAGGGGACTACAAAGAAGCAACTAGATAAGTTTCAGTACAATGTTTTTAAGTCCATTGGACATTTAATTGAGATTTAAGAAGAAAAGACAAATCGAAATTAATTTCGTCAGCTTTGTAACACCTTCTCAGCCTTGAAGTCCCATTAAACCAATATAACTCTTGAGTCGTTCTTTTGATAAGTTAGATTATACAATACTAAGTAGTACTAAAATGACTTATCAAATATTGCGTACCAAACATGCTTTATTGTTGTATTTTGCCTAATCTCCGCGAATATTTGATAGTAATATCAACATATAAAGAATGCCTCACCTTGGAAATTTAGCCCCTAAAATATCTTTCTGCCCATATTTTCTCCAATTATATCCATCATCAAGAGGGCCTTCTAGTCCTGTTCCACTGCAAACTCTCACTTGCTCACTCCATTTTGCTAATGTCTTTCTGTAAATCAATCCATAAAAAAAAAAAAAAACCCCCAAAAAATGAATAAATTTACTTTGAAATGAATTCTTTACTAAGAAAAAAACGACGAGAACTGTCTAAGATTTACCTTTTCTTGATGACACGATCTTTAGAGTCGATAAGATCAGAACCGTCACTGCTTCTTGGGCTAGCTGATCCCAACAAGCCATTAATTTGTGAAGGATTTTCAAGAAAAGACATGTCGTTGAGCACTGATAATGCATTATCATAAGACGAAAGTATTTTCTCCACCAAATATCCACATGCCTCTCGCGATTTTGCGGGCTGAAGTTGGTTTTTCAGCTCATTCGCAAGGTCTCTACCTTGTGTTAGCTCACTGATGACAATCTTTGTGTCCCAAGAACCAACTTTTTCCATTGGAAAAATCTTAAAGAAAATTTTCAGTTATATTCTTTTGGTATTTGATCAAGAAAAGCTTAAATTTGGATCATTTTTTTTGGTAGGAGAAACATTAATCAGTTCAAATATATATGATCAAGAAACAGAAAACTATACGTTTTTCGAGGGTAAAATGAATTCAGTTAAATAAAATCGCTACGAACTGCAGAAGATTAAAAAAAAAAGAGGAGATAGGAAGGGAGGAAGAAAGGAGATAGTGGAACTTTTTGTAACTGAGCAGAAACGTGATTCTTAGTGATGAAGTAGTGAGGAAATAGAGGGAGACGTATATAAAGCAGAAAAGTCTTGGAAAAGTGGGGATTTTTTTTTATCTTTTTCACTTTTTACGTTTTTTACTTTTTATTATTTTATTTT